CACTGTCCCTCTAGTGCCTCAATTTCCTTTTCTGTAATATCTGCTTCTCTCAGAGGATATGGTGGCGATCCAGTGAGAACACTTTGTGACAAACAGCATGTAAACATTAAGTGGTGGTTTTCAAAACAAAATGGTTACTGTTAAGTGTTCTGCTTAGAGTTCTGCTGAGCTGTCTCATGTCAGATAATGCTGATATAAAATAATTATTGATTGAAGACGTTATATCTATATAATAAAGGGTGAAAATTGTCAGACTTGCATTTGAGTTTATTTTAAAGCAGTAACAAAAGGTACATCTGATTTGAATTTTTTATTTTTATTTTATTTTGTTTATTTAAATTGAGATGGGGCACTAGAGAACAAACTTGGGACCCTGCGCTTGCTAGGCAGGTGGCAGAACCACTGAACTAAATCCTTGGCCTTTATTTGAATTTTTAATTTTATTTATTTATTTATTTATTTATTGGTTTTTTTGAGACAGGGTCTCACTATGTAGTTGATGCTGATTTGGAACTCACTATGTAGCCCAGGCTGGTCTCCTGCCTCAGCCTCCCGAGTGCTGGGATTACAGGCATGCACCACCACACCCGGCTCTTATTTGAATTTTTTAAAGCAAAGATACTGCCAGGTGTAGTGGTGTATGCCTGTAGTCCTAGCACTCAGGAGGCTGAAGCAGGAGGATCACTGCAAGTCTGAGGCCAGCCTGGGCTACATAGTGATGTCATGGCCAGCCTGAACTATATAGCAAGAACTTGTCTCAAGGAAAAAAAAATTAAAGCAAAGATACTTAGTCAGTTGTGGTGCATAGTGTAATCCCAGCACTCAGCTGAGGCAGGAGAGTTCCTGCAAGTCTGAGGCTGCCCTGTGCTATATGGTGGGCTCAAGGCCAACCTGAACTACATAGTGAGAGAGGGGCTGGGGTTGTAGCTCAGTGGTGCCATGCCTGCCTAGCAAGCATAAGGTCCTGAGCTCAGTTTCCAGCATCAAAAGAAAGAAAAAAATAAGAAAGATGAACACCTAATTCCTTTTGAACTAACTAGTTCATATCTTATATTTCCTCTTATTTCCTGTAAACTATTCTTAGTATAAGAAATTTTCAATGACAATGTTCAACCTTAAACAATTATCACAGTAATTCCAAATTACGTTCGTGTTTTATTGTAGTTAGGATTTTATGTTGTGATTTGGAGGAAGGAAAATGATGAAGGGGTGGATAAAGGTGGTTGTTATCCTATAGTCTCACAGTAATTCAGTTTGCTTTTATCCATTTTGTTGGCCCCATACAGTTCAGGGTAATAGTTTTACCTGCCATGTAGGGGCTTTATTTGTTCTTTTTGTTTGTTGCCTTGGGTAGTGGACAAAATACACATAGGATCAATAGGAATGAAGAAAAAAGTATATATTCAACCTATGCTAGTTACTTCTTCCTACTTCAGTCAAACAAAAATAAAAGGTTTCCAGTTGATTTTAATGTATTGACAAGACAGAAAAACTGAATGTCCATATGTGACTGGCATAAAGCAAGCCCTCAATAAATAGTAATTTCAGAAAACTAGGGAATAATTACACAGAAGGCTTCCAGACAGAGGAAGAGTTAACTGAAAGAAAATGAGGTATAAGCCTTAGACCCCTCACATACACAGGCTCTTTTCAAGTCCCCATGATTCTCCTCTGGCATAGAAGTGGTCCCTTCACTGTACCTGTTAGCCTCTCTCTCTCTCTCTCTCTCTCTCTCTCTCTCTCTCTCTCTCTCTCTCTCTCTC